CACACACACACACACACACACACACACACACACACACACACACACACACACACACACACACACACACACACACACACACACACACACACACAAACACATACACATATATACAAGTTTTGTTTGTAATATCATCAACGATAGCACCGCCAGATTGACTGTCCCCTCTCTTTTCCCTACGCCATCTATTGATGTTGGAGGTACGGTGATCGTCATCATCTTATTTATCTCTACCCATTGTCGTCAGTTGTGTTCAGACTTGCCATTTTCCTTCTCCATTCATTTTCCCATACCGTTACATATTTTCAACGATTTTCGTTGATCGCTTCAAAAATTCTTTTCGAATATACTTCATTTCTCCCTTTCTTTTTTTCTCTTTTCACTTTTTGTTTTTGTTTTTTACCTCTCTTCTTTTATTATTTTGAAATTTTACAAATTTTGAATCAATCTTAAATCTTAAATAATAAAATATTGAACTATGATAAAAAAAAAAAATAGTCTTAATCGTATGGTATATTGGATAAGAGTTATCAAGAGATGATAAAGACTGAAAAGTTCAATTCTTCCTCCCTCTCCTTTTCATTTGATATTAAATTTTGCATATAAATGAGAAATATGTTAAGTGTTAATTAGGCTTATTATCACCTTTATTTTTCAATCTATAAAAATATATTAGCATAGTACCTTTTTCAGTTACTTATACCATTCAATTCCTGTACAATAATTATTAATTTATACTAATAAACAAGTTTGTTAAATACTTGAAAAAGTTTTTTTTTTAGTAAAAAAATACAGAAATAATTTTACATTTTTGATTTTTTTTCTCGAAAAAAAGTTTCAACAAATATGAATTTAAATTAAACAAACAAAATTTTTATATTTGTATTTTTTCATTATCAAATCAATTCATACTTTGTTTACATTGTCGTATTACCTATTATATATATACATATATCATATCATTTTCAAATTTTTTTTCAAATAATTTTTGTAAGGAAACTTAAGTATGAAGTAGGAACGAAGAGAGGGAGAGGGTGAGAGAGAGAGAGAGAGAGAGGAAGGAAAGAAAAAAAGGAAAAACTAGGATTCTCTTTGATATAAATACAATTGTGAATGCATTTTAATAATGAAAATTTGAAAAATAAAAAATCAAAAAATTAAAAAATTTTTTTTAATTGCGTATTCACGCATCATCAATATTTGGGAGGAATCAATTTTAGGTCAAATCTTTTTTCTTTGTTTCCTTCCTTCCTTCCTTACATTTTAATCAAATACCGATTAAAAATTTTTGCTATAATTCATGCATTTGACTGATATTCCAGAAAATTTTTCTTTCCCTTACCTTTCTTTTTTGATTTTTAAATTTTGATTTCCTTTTAATTCTTCGTTTTTCCTTCTTTTGTCTCGTTTTGTAAGTTAAAATATGAAATGATTCATGATAATTGTATATGATAGGATTAAATTAAAATATTTTTTGAATACTGAAATTTAATATTATCGAAGTAAGTGGTGAAAATTTAGAGGAAAATTGAAGTGATCATTTGATATTTCATGGATTTTTTGCTTGATTGCGTTTGATTTACTGATATACTAAATTCTATTACTTGTTTACTTATTAATTTTTTGCTTGTTTACTTTTCGCTTTGCTTGTTTGTTTATTTTTTGCTTTCTTTTTTACTTCGTTTAATTTACTCAAAGATTTTTTGACTTCCAAAATTTTATAATATTGAAGTAATTAACGGGAATTTTGTCTAGTAGTGATTAATTAGCTATTTCTAACTAGTGAGAGATCACTAACTTAACTAGGAACAGAACAGATATGAACCTGAAACCTTGCTGGACAGTTCAAAATTACCTCGAGATTATTAACCTGGAAATGATATAGGCATGGATGAAGCCTTATTGGACAAGTCAAAATTACCAATAAATATTGATAGAGAGAGAAAAACAAAAATCGATCTCGATAATCTCATATACTGTATATTAATGATCAGAAATGTCTAATGGATAAGTAAAAATAATTTTTTCACAATCAGAAAAAAAAAAGAAACACAAATAAAATATTTAATTATTTTTCATCACTTCATTTAAATTTATTTCATATATTCATTTTTAAATTCCAATTGAAAATTTTGTTTCATTTCAAAAGGATCATTTTACTGTTGCTATCTAATGTACATATCAATCTGATGATCACCGTATTCCTCTCATCCTTTCTTTCAAGTTGTGATACAAAAAAAAAGAAAAAAAGTAGTTCGGTAACG